CTAGCTGAGGCTAGGTGGCTAACCTAATAAATATGCATCAAATATATAAAAATGTGCTACCACAAAGGTAGTCAGAGCAGTTAACAAATAATATTATCAACGCCGGTCTAGCAGCCGCCCCTAGCTTTAACGTCCAGTCGTGATGGCCAATTATAACAGAAACATCAATGACACGACGTTGAACAGTAGAATAACTAAAATATAATTTCAATAACTATTGTGAGAAACTCGTCCTTCGCACACCTTTTATGTAGTAGAAGGCCCCTTGACGACTTGAGAGGTTCGAGTCTGTCAGCGCTTATCTACTCTATGGGTAACTAGTCATATTCATGTTGTATCATGGAGAAATTCGTAAGCGTCGACTTTGTTTTAACAAAACATGGCAGGTTTGCGGACAGGTAGTATAGTGCCATACTGACCCCGCCATTTAAAGGCATAATCTTCAATGCGTCAAAGCCTATTCCGTTAAAAATTTCCCTATATATTCCGAGATACCAAACCAAACTTTTAAAGGTACAATGATATTCAATAGAATACAATCAGTTCTTCTTCGTCGTGGTTCTCTGCCCGTTTGCTTTCATCTTATTTAATCGTCACTGTATTTGCCTACAGCGCCCTCCTAGCCACGAATCTCTGCTAACGGTGTTTGACCAACGATACGCAGTTATACATACACATGCAAACCTGCAATCAGCTGCGATGCTGGTCTACCGTGATTACACATAAATGTACAGAGGCTATTTTGACGAAGCTCGTCATCTTCGCCGCCTAGAGACGCTTATCGTCTGCCCGCCACAGGGAAGATCGTAGGGAAGCGAGAAACTTGTCGCTCTAAGGTCCAAAGGCCAGTGGCTTAGTTTAATACACACTTCGCCGGGAACTGTTATGATACTGCTACTACTATAAATTCATTTTCAATATGCCCTCGTCGTACGTACAACGAAATGGGAGACCTTTTTTACCAGCCGCAGTAGTCATATTGCTGTTTAATACATTTATGATAGAACATCTTGGCATCGTAACTTGTTTGCGTGGCACGTAATAAATATAGCAACCGTACAGCGTGGTCTCGCAGCAGGAGTTGCGGTAAGACTACCTATCCGTCACGCGTGCCATCAAACGAATCTCATTACAAAGTGCAACAACAAGACCCAACGGCACTTGCGGCTGAGTCACGACGGCTATTGCCCACGTGTCAGCCGTACAGGCAGCTAATCTTTTCCACCAGCTACTCATTCTAGGCCAATATAGTAGTGCAGATCGCAAAAACGCTGCGTGAATCTGCGCCGACAGCAGAAGCCCGAGCACTCTTCTATTTCTTCTCCGTCTGCATATCCATTTTGAAGACCCACCCAAACAAACAACCTAAACAAAAAAAAAAAAAGCTAACCCAAGTCATCGCCAAAGATGGACAACCGTGGTCAGCATTGCCCGCGTGGGCCTGCGCTCGCTGATGATGCCAAGGTAGTAGAACAACACGGATACCAACCACCATCGCGACAGACCCACTGACAGTTCATGGCAAGCATCGATTCGTCAAGTGTACCGAACATACACTGATCAAGCAAGACCTCGTCGGAAGATTAACGGCCGACGCTTGCCCGCTGGGATGTCATATATCTCATATGGAGGAAGGCAATAGAAAACGGGTGAAGGAGATATATCTCGCGAGAACCTTGGCACAAACGCCTCACTTGGGTATGTGCAACCGATGCCGCTGAACACATCCGCTTCACTACTTAGCCATTTGGCTGGGCCAAATACAGGTGTGACCCGTTTGTTGGGTTGTGGCGGCCCAAAAAAAGACAGTGACGATAAGGTGTCGTGGGCAAGAAGGCCAGTAAGTGATTTTGTGCGATCTGTTGCCTCGACTAAATTCGAGTGAATGTTCACGCAACATGAGGGGTATAGGTATGAGGGGTAGGACACGTTGTGGTCGAACCCGACGTTCGAACTAGAAGAGGGGAAGTAACAATCATTTATATTAATATAGCAAACTTTGAAAGAGCTACCACTTCGAATACTTATTATAACATGAATAGTCATTAAGTAAACTATCCAAGCGATTGGCGGGAACAGTGTTCATAAATGCACAAAGCCATCTGATTTTATACCTCGATAAGGGGCAAGAATCGACATCCGTTACGCCCCTCTAGCGGCGTGACGCTAGCTGGCAAAATGATTCACCATCTGATTTTGTAATTACTATTATGTTTTCCCTATTAACCCTACTAAGATGTATTTCTTTGCAGACTTTGTCAGTGACAATCTGTGTGCCGAAAGGTCTGCACCAGTTGACTATGAACGATGTGAATTCCTTCGTGAATCCGAGCGAAAGTACAGTCTTAAATGCAGAAAAATAGAAGAGAGCATCTACAGAACACAGGGCTTAGTGTTTTTAGTAAACTAACAGTTATAAACAGGCATGCTATTTTTTGTGATATAGTGGACTATATATATATATATATATATATTGATAACAGTGAGCCGCAATAAATGTCAAAACTGATTCCACTACCTTTTTTAGAGACAAGCTTAATAATAACTATTATTAGGAGGGTGGCTGATAAGCCCTGCCATTTCGTATATGCAAACCTGCAATGTGAAAGCCTTGCTCCGACAAAAGCATTTAAAAATCTTTTGGGCCCTTTGTACACGGATAGGAGCTCTCGTATACGCTCGAGTGAAGCACAACTGTAGACAGCATTTGTGCGTAATGAACAGCCGTGGGCTACCTCGCTTACAGTTCTCGATAGAGTAAAAGGAGTTCCGTGTTGTCCCATATCGTTCCAATAACAAAAGAGTCAACGGGTACTTCTGTGTTTCTCGGTAGGTCGATGCCTAAACATAAAAGGGAAACTTTAGAGGCGTCCTAGAAGAAAGGCTTCCATGCTAGGATCGAGAAAAATCTCCGCGTTACCATACACGTTATGCTACGATAAATCTATTACTACCTTCCATTATAGGAAAGTTCAATGTAAAGGAGGACCGAATGCAAAAATACTTACGTCTACTTTCTTCGTATGCTCTTAGAAATATGTATAAGTGGTCCCTTCTCAATATAAGTGTAAAACGCTTCACGGCCAAGCAATATGTTAGCACGATTTGGCGTCGCCTCTTTGCGGCCAGTGACCGTTAGGCCCTTGCTATCACCACACTCATGACATTCAGGCCAATAATAGAACAGCATTATTCACTCGTAAGGCTCTCGTTCCACATCTGTCAACATTTAAGTCATAGGGAAGCCTTGGGACTCGACTGGCTTTGAGAATCTGTAGTTCCTGTCTGGGGCCATTGCCACAGCGCAGGTCGAACCACCTCCACGAAGCTCACATTAACTTTGAAAAACTCACCAAAGCTATATTTTCGGCTATTCACTTCAGCCCGTCTTTGTCTACTGCATCCGGGCTCTATTTGAAGCGTCATCTTGGAGTTAACATACATATGCTTAGAAGCAGAGAATGACAGGCCCTTATGGCGCTGCCAAGACTGCAATTCCGTAAATAAATCAAAGTTTCCATTAGTATGGTATCCTCTTATCTCATGTCAGTTGCGGGATTCAGCAAATATATTATTCGTGTTACGCCGCCGCAAGCAGTGGTTTATCAAGCGAAATCCGGTTCGCTCCTCAGGATAGGAAGACGTACGACAGCCACCTTGTTGTACAACCGATCAGTTCGATTCCATTATACGATTGTTATTCTTAGCAATTCCAGCTAGTAACGAGTATCATAGGATGAAGCTGATCCTACTTGCTTCATTTATAAGACATGTTCCGATTATACACACAGGACACCATACATATGACAAACTTTACGAAGGCTTGCCAGATTGCTTTAAAGCGCGTTTCTTTGGAACACTACCGAGCGGCCTTCTTAGAATATTCAATCCTGTCAACAGAACTTTCCTTCCATGTTGTTCCAGTTAAAAAAAAAGTGAGGCAGAACAAAGTGGCAAGATTGGCCTGGTGCAATAATATTACTTTTGTTTGCGTCATACGTAAACTACCAATCATGTCGATACCACTACCCAGTGAGGTTCCGTCACAGAATAGGTAATTCAGCAGATACGAACAATGAGTGTTTGTAATATTTAGCATGTACGCGTATAACCTTTAGGTATATATCGTCCGAGTCTAATAGGGCAAGTTGGGTAGGCTGAAAAGCTTCATTTAGACTGTAAAAAGACACAAACCCCAATCCCTCAGTTCTCTTTGTCGTTGCTGTATTGTTACGATCACAATTTCAGAAACAAGTAACCGTTCGGACGATAAAATCGCCGGGCCCGCGACACGACCTCGAATAAGGGCAACCCAACCCCTTATTCGTTTAAACCAATAGAGAGTATAGAAGTAGACAATAGTGTCATACATGGGCATATGGCGTGATTCTACTGAGCCGTGGTATCGAGTCGACCATATTAGAAAGAGGTGTCACCAGCAATGGATCGACCAGAATCCTTAAAATTGACGATTAATGGGACTAGTAATAGCAGACCCCACAAGCAACGTATATTCTCTCTTGCGTATGCTGACGCGCAGTGGTTACTTATAACAGCCCCACGAACTCGAGATAACGAACATGTTTAGTACACCCTAACAGTAACGACAAGTCAGCCTGGGTTTAATTGATAATCAGGATACTTTGAACCTGCGTAGTTGACCCTAACGAGCAAATGGTGCAAATATGGAGTAATGAGGCTCAATGTCAATTCTATTGCTATTAGAAATTTTTTACACTTTTTATGGATCCAGTCCAGTGGTGCCGTTCTTATTAACAATACATAAACATAGCAGTATTACAGAGTAATCTAAGGTACTACCTTATAATTGTTCTAAATGGACGAAATGTACTCATCTTAGATGGTATATGTCCAATGTAAAAATTCGTATATAAATTCATAACAATATAATCTATGTAGAGTTATATCAGAGTGAAGATCGATGTATTATGATATAATACATAACACACAAGAGAAACGTTTTGCCTTGCCATACTTACCGATACGAGGTGCTGAACATTGTAGACATCACTATCGCCGTAATACACACGAATGGCCCGCAGGGTGAAGCCGAAGCCCCGGGGCGAGCGTCGGATGATGATCGGGGGTTTAAGCTGCGACGCCCCGATTGGCGACAAATCACATGGGGCCGGTGGACGTGAAGGTGACGCATCTCGCGATGAAGCACTACTACCACCGGGCGATGACGGGGCGAGGGGAATCGATAAAATACACAGACTTCCTCCAGAACCGCTCCCACTATTATTGTTGTGACTGTTGCCGCTCGTTCCACTGAACTGCGATTGAGACTGAGGCATCGGACCCAGCGATGCTGAGGCCGAAGCCGAGCGGATCCTTGACACGGCTGACGCACCCGACGCCGATAGCCCACAGAGTCCAGCGCTCGCTGGTGGAGATGCGGATGATCTTTCGATAAGCGACAGCGATCCCAACTCGTCCTCGACGGCAAGTCTTGGCGGGCGGCGGCGGGGCATCTTTAAAAGACATGAAAAAAAAGCGGGTTAAGGGAATGTGGAACGTGAACATATCGTTTTCCCTTTTAAAAATCATTACTCTTAGTAAGAGATAACTACACGTGGATTTACTTAGACCCCAAGAAAAATGCATACATATATATACAAATGAGGGGTTAATAGTAAGAAGTGCCTGATACGGTACAGAATAGTTCACACATATATTTATAAGCGTACTTAAAGATGTTATCGTGATGATGTGTACGAGTATTCGAGTTGTCGATAGAACGCGGCATCATCTTCGCCGACGTCATTGCCGTAAAAGTGTTACCACGCATCGTATTCAAGGAGCAGCGACAGACGGTGGCGTAAAGCGTCATGGAAAAGTGAACATATCCTCTTCTAGCAAGTTTTATGTATTCATGCACCCAGAACGTATTCTTCTAAGGGTCACAAATTTTATGGAAGAAATCGAACCAATGACGAGAAATATTACTAGAATCATCATCCAATTGCAAAGATTGTTGCACGATACATTTGCTGTTGCGTTCAGTAGCTCTGGTATAACGAAGATCGTCATGAACGCACACATCGTCCCTATGTAAGAATCCTGTATCCTATGGCTGACTAATACCTCAACGAAGATAATATTCAATGTTGACTACCACAACGAATAATTACCTAAATAAAGAATGACTACCTTCTGTTTCCCTCAACTGATATTATTATAATAGTCATCGTATTAGACTAAATTATGAGCGACGTCTCACGATTCAACGATTATTGCATCGACAGCAGATTATATGTATATGTTTTTCGGCGAGTTTAAATTGGGCTTTTTGCGTTGATTGTCGTTCACGTCTGGGTGTGCTCATTTAGGAGCCCATTAAAGTTGCGTGGCCAAGACAAACAAACGGATTCCTGTCATCTGTTTCCCTTTTCCTATGTTTCTTATACGTTCGTACACAGAGACGCCGCCAACTTAGACTTATCAGACAACGCCGTATCTATAATGTTTATCGCTAATTTTTGTTTTGGGCAAATTTAGTGAAATCGATTGAGTGGTCTAAAGAAGAAGGTGCATCTATCTGCACTAAACAATGCACGGTTTACTGTATTTCGTCGTACTCAGCTCTCGGCGGCCTGTGCCGCAATAAGCAGGCTGGCTTACTCAGCATCCAACTCACTACTAAGACGTATACTATTACTATAATCACAAGATACGTATAAACATAACTAAATACTAGAGGTTTCCCTTTTCTGATAAAGCTGATAAGCTTTAAGAGCATGCAGCTCACGTCCAATCCCTTTCGGGAGCCTCCTTGGAGAAAGATCCCATTGCTAATCTTTTTGAAGAAGCGAATGCGTAAAAGAAAGCGTAATAGATCCTTCCTTCAATTTCCAATGAGGCGTTTTGACTTGATTTCGTTCATCCACAGTCCTCCCACGTGGCCTAAGTGCGTCGCTCGCGCCGGGCGATTGGCCGGACTACGCAGGCAGCTGATGGTGAACCGGCAGGCCAACGGGTTGTGGTCTACACTGTACCTCAGTGAGACAAGGCTACAGTAATACTGTGTTCTAGATTTTTTGCCAATGTTTTCCTCTGAGCTAGTACTTGTGCTCGAATACGCCGGAGACACTCTAGTCTCCTCCGTCATGTTCAGTTTATAATTATTAAAGGTCGGCTATCATAAATGGTTCATTCCTGTCATTATTACGACAAGACCGAAAATGTCAATAGACCAAAAAAAAACTAGTTCATAAACCAAGCACAGTATAACCACAACCTTATTTCTTCTCCGTGTATATTAATATAATATATATGATTTGTTATGTATTTTTGATAGCATGCCTTCCAGACTTTTCTCATTGATGTCAGCATTCTGAAGCAATTGAAAAACACACTTTATCCTGTTATATTAAACTGTTATATTATATTATTATATATTTTTTGCTTCGGAGCAAGCTAATCATCTACTTATAGTGGTAAACAAAAGTAGTTTTTAAAAAAAAGTGTGAGGTTTAAAGTACAAACAATATGGCGCAAGTGTCCCTACCGAGGTAAGCGGGTCGAGCGAAATTGATATGGGGAGACTTCCGTTGTTTGTGGAATGAATCTGTCAATGAGACACAGTTTGCCGGTCTATCTCTCAGTGGCAAGCTCGTACGCTTGACAGACAACGATCACCAAATCAGAGGCGTTTCGTTATCTATTGCCAGTAATAATAGCTAAGATTGGGTTAATATCGTAGTAAGAAAGAAGCAAAGACTGATAAAAAGCCAATTACACGACTAATCTATGGCCGATGCTGGTATTTTCTTTCAATTCAAGGCTTCTCGTCTTGCTGAACATCTCCAGCGATCGATTTACAGGAAATACAATATAAATCAGTACCCCATCGAGATTATACATACGCCACAAAATTAACAGTGGAAAAAAGGTTCCGGAATATTATTGTTACCCCACACAATTCGAAATATCATTTATGGGTTAAATCCGTGTAACGGTTTTGGCTGATCGTCATAAAAACCGAAACATGATAACAATACTTTTATGTTCGATGAGCTCATCCTTGTTGAGTTCTCGCGTTCAACCCGGCACTTTTGTATTTTACTTTACCAATGAATGAATTAAGATGGTGCCATCATCTGAATGAGCTAGCGGTAGCAAGAGAACGTTACGACTATATTTCGCCTTACCGCAATTGAACCTAACTCGATTGGGACGAGATGACAAGACCTAATACAGAGCCCCAGTCATTTTACGCATCGTTTCCACGAACGAGTAAAATACGAACGAAATCGAATACGCTTTTTGATCGAAGCGATATATCTGCTGGAGAATTATTGACGAATATTGTGTATAATAAAAGCATCTTACACTGGAAACCCGTCGACTATTTAACGGCTGATAGCTCGCTCTATCGCCATGCCATGCCATGACTGTCCCTAAAGAGCTGTTTCCTAACACCGACAACTGTAGCAGCGCACCGGCCAGGTACCCACCCCCGTTCAAACAACAACCATTCTCATCATTGTTGGTCTGCCTATATTACATAGATAGCGATGTAAAGGACGACGCAGACGATCACATCGAACGCTGTAAAGGGCAGCAAGATCATTGCGCAGACAGCGGAAACAGCAGCGGCAACATTAGAGTCAAGAGTAGCCATGATGACGTACGCGGCTTCACGTGTGTTCGAGTCGGGCTCACATTAGCTGTATGCATGTGTCCGTAGCACCGTATAAACGAGAGGTAGGTCGCTTCAATCAATCGATTCTACTCACTGTCGTCCGCAGTGTCCCGCATCCACAGTAAGACTAGCGTTTTTCTCTACGTTCGGGGTTGATTACCACTAGAGTAGAACAAATATACCCTTCCAACGGGCTTTCTTTTTTTATACTTCGCGAAGAAAAGTGAACCGTTGAATCGGCCAAAAGGCCATCCAGTTGTTAAGACATTAGAACAGACTTTATCGATATGAACAACAGCACCGTATAACACGCATGCTCGATCCTAAGGAGAGCTAGCGGGAAATTAACTGATTTTTTGGTAGACTTGACAAGGTTGTGGCGCCTTACACTTGCAGTTGCCAGCAGGCACCGCAACCTGCATTCCGTATGCCGTAGAGGTCTAAAATAGTAGTAGCAACGCTGATAATACAGCCGAAGCAGTATTAGAGTACTCGTATATAACATAATATATATATATATATATATATACAGTGACACCTGTCTGCTTGTGTAGTTGAATAGATCGGCCTTATAGTTGGCACCGTAGTTAAATGGTTTCTGCTGTTTGTTAGAGACGGCCTAGCTGTACTGCGCTTAACAAATGTACGAACACGGATGTGAAACAGAACATTGAAAGTCATGGCGGTCTGCAGCTACAGTTGCCTCGCCTTTGAGTTCTAAAAAGCCTGTTTCAGTTCTGTACAGGATCCGTTCAGTTCTAAAAAAGTTCTAGAAAGCCTGCGTGAGCAACTGCGGTAGCAAACAAGCCACAAGGACAGCACGTGCAATCGCGCTACATACAGAAGTAACAACAACAACAACAGCAGCAGCAGCAGCAGAAGCAGTGGAAGGAAATGTCTGGCCTCGTGGCTCGTTCATAGGAGCTGTCCTATCGGCTGCCTACCATATCAGGAGCGACTAGAAACAGAACGCCATAGTCGAGGGGAACACTAATAGAATAACTAAGTCGCCTTAGTTCTAGCGAAGCTTCACTAAGAAGAAAAAAAAAAAAAGAAAATGTACGACGGCGTCAGCAGAAGCAACGATGACTGCGCGGCAGCACTAATGGCAGCGTACCAAAAGCTGTTTCCTTACTTTATCGTATCTTTCGGGTCGTCAGCGAATGATTTGACACCACTGCCGAGCAAATAACAGACAAACAGGCAGGTAAAAACAGGCAATCGCATCTAAACCAATGAAGGCTGTTTCACTCGCCGAGCACACAGATAGCTATGCCTATGGTCATATTCATCAACCAATAGAATATAGGTGAGCATACTGGTAATACAGACCAAGTGTCTGTCATTTTCGTTTTGGTAAAGGAATCAAGCCAATAAATCGTGAGTTCCAATGTTGACGCTCAGGCATTTAGTTGCCTGTTCTATAGAATTCATCCGAAGCTGAAGAGAAGATTTCGGCCAGTTCAAACGATCCATGGAGTTGATACAGGGCGACTTATAGTCGATAGTGATTTGCCTTTCGGATCAATGATAGGGCCTTGCCACATGAAGGTTGTCAGAGTTCGTGGACTTTTAAAAAGCAAAGATTAAGATTAGGGAAAAAGACGCAGAAAGGAAACTCGATGTTCAGTATCATCGATTTCAAGTTACTTGGCTCGTTGATACCGCTGGTGAATCGAGGTTAATAATATTGTTGACCCCGCGGTTTCTTTTCCTATGAAAATACACCATCTGTGATTTTAGCTGTACCTCAACTAACTAAAAAGCGAATTTGCCTGTTTGCTTTTGCCCTGTTGCAAGCCTTACATAGATTGCTCGATTATATAA